CTCCTCCCTCCCCTGGGAAGATGAAAGCACCAGCACTTAGCACTTGAGTTCCCCTGGAGATGGAGAGTGTATGGAGGGGGAGCTCCTGGGTGGGAAGGGGGAGGGGGCAGGGGGCCAAGCCCACCCACCCCTCGCCTCTGAAGTAGGGGCTTCCCAGGGCCCACTTGGCCACCGTTCTCTTGTTTCCTTGTCCTGTGGATTTCCAGGTCCGCCCGGCCAGCCCTGTCCCCTCCAGAGGTGGGGACGTAGGAGGGGGCGTAGAGGGGAGGGTCACAAGGGTTTACATTCTCCACCAAGCAGTAGCACCAACGTTGATGAGGTCGTGAGTCAGGGGTCCTGGGAAGCTCACTTTCTCTTCCGGCCACAGGATTTCCCCAGGCAGGCTCCACCTGGGTGGGAGGGGCACACACAAGGTTAGTCTGGCCCCTCCCCGTTGCTGCTCACGCCACTGCCCACTGACCAGCTCCAGCATCATCACCGTGGGGAACAGAGGCTCCAAGAAGCCTCCAGAAGCCTGGGCTCCACCCCAGGCCAAACTCATCGTACAAACTCCCACTGGACAGGTGAGTGGGACCAGGGCTCAAGATGTGGTTGATGAAACCAAGTCTCAGGGAAGGGAAGAGGCCAGGCCATGGGTCCAGGTCTGGGAAAGACTGGGCCTGGGCAAGGTCTCTATTCTCTGAATCCACTCCATCTGGGAAGCCTTTAGTGAGTGACTCAGAGCCCCCGCCAACAAGGGAGATAGTGAGACAAACAAGCCAGTGCCTCAAATAAGTAAACTGAGGCCCAGAGTGAGAGCCGTACTCATCCACAGTCAGTGGCTAACTTGGGACGGGACCCCAGGACCCTGGCCCTCTCCTGGGGAGGGTCTGATTGGTAAACCTTGTCTCTAATCATCAAGGCACCATTTTCTGGTTGGAGGGCTGGAGTAGTTCTACCCCTGTGGGAGGTAGACATGGCTTGTTACCGCCACCTGGTGGCAGTGAGAAGCCAAGTGGGGCGGGGACAGGCCTCTGTGCGAAGCTCATCCAGGGTGTTTGGAAAGCAAGGGGCTAAGGCCACAGGCACCACTAGGCACTCTGGAAAGGGCCAGGCTGGTCTTGCCTCAGCCTCTCCAGCCCTGGCCTTGCCTCAGCTGCCTCATCTGTGTAGCGAGAAGCAGGCGGGGGCGGGGGGGTGGTGGTGGAAGGGAATCCACAGTCTGAGCAACCGCAGGGGTGGAGCTGCGGCTTCTTTGGGTCTCCCTTGGGCATTGTTGGGAGGAGCTTGGGAGGTGGCGATCAGGACCCACCCCGCACACTTCCAGAAGCGTGTGTGCATTTGTGAGCAAGGGTGTGGCTCGGTGCCAGGTAGTGGCCCCTGCCCACTCTGCCCAGCCTGGGCACCTTGGGTTCCCCTGCCCACCCTTCAGATTTCCCGAACCCTATGGCTCCCATCATCTCATCCATTTTCTCCCTCTGTGTCTGCTCCTCTGAGTTCTTCCCCCCTCCTCTCCCTTCTCTTTCTCTTGGCTCCTTCCTGAAAGTGGGGGGCGGGGAAGGGAGGTCACGTGGGCAGCAGGGAGGCAGGGACTGCTAGGCCAGGCCAGGCTGGGTGAGTATGGAGGGTCCTGGGCCTACCCCCAGCTCTGATCATCTGTGTTGGAGGCAGAAGAAGGGATGGGTGAGCTGTGCAGCTCCTCCAGCCTCCCCACTGCTGCCAGGCTTAGTCCAAACGTGCTCCCGCCTCTCCCTGACCGATGGGCCCAGCCGCTGCCTCCGTCTCTGCCCCTCCCTCCATGCTGTCTTCCTTGCTCCACTCACCTGGGTACCCTAGAGCTCCCAGGGCACCTCCATAGGGCTTGGGAGGTTTGCCTGTGGGAGGAGAGGTAGGGATTGGGGAGGGGACCTGGCTTTCCTGCCTCTCTCAGGGCCCCCACCATATAGGGCCTCGATCCTATCACCGCAGGTTCTGAAGGCCTTGCGGATCATATCCTGCATATAGAGGTCTGAGCAGCTTGGAGGGTGCCCTCTCCCACCATAGCCAGACCCCAGCCTTGCCAGCTAACATGCTGGTATCAGAGAGGTTTTGACGCCCCTGGCTGCCTGCTTGATGGACCTTGTTCTTCCCTTACAGTTTCTTTCTTTTTCTGTGGGAGCTTGTCAGCCTCAGCACTTAGACCCCAAGCTCCAGGGTGACCCAGGTCCCTGTCTCAGTCCTGGTCCCTAGTCAAATGCCAGGCTGGGAGCTCTAGGAGTCAGAATCCTTGCCTCCTATCCCCACACCCCAGGGCTGAACTGTCAGCTTCTGTGATTCCCCTCAAGCCCCCACACCAGAGGCCCAGCCAAGGGTTGTGGCCATACTAGCCACTCCCTTAACAGGACTCTTCCCCCCTCCACCCCAGGAGAGGAGCTCAGAGCATTGCTTGAAGCGGGGCCCCTCCTTCTTCTTGCAGACTCACCACCAACTCCCAGGCCCCCAGCCCCGACTCCGGCTCCGCCACCTGCAACACAGGAAAGGGGCGGTGAGTGTGCCACTTCTGGGAGTTGCCAAGGCCTCCTGGCAGCATGGGCCTCGCTTGAGAGGGGCCAGGTTCTGGGCTTGGGAGCCTGGCTCTGCCTCACTCACTGTGTGACCTTGGGTCAGTCCCTGGTTCTCTGTGAACCTCAGTTTACCCCATTTGGAACATGGTGTTTCAGAAAAGCTGATGCTCCCTGGCCTTGCAGCGGGAGAGAGAATAAAGGGGAGCCCAGCGCGTGTAACCTGAGATAGGGGACCCCTGCTGGGGCTTGACC